AAACCTCAAGAAAATGGATCAGTTAAGATGCAATCAAAGCCTCTGACTCCAGAAAGGAAAGGTAACATCATGCTGTTTTGAAAAATGAATCTACGCTAGAAGATACAATCTAGTAAAAAAAAAAAAATCAACTAAATTTGCAACTTGTGACATTTCATGGTAGTCGAACAATTCAAACATGGCGAAAATCTTTTGCAACAAAACAGAAGAATGAAAACATTGAAGATAGGGTGAATTTTCTGTGCCCATTTTCAAGCAGAGTTCACCACCTGTGAGATTCTAATCTTGTGTTTCTCTAAGGGTAGATATTCAAGTAGATTTATTTTCAGAAGTTATTTTTCAGCCTTTCTCTACCCTTTACCTGTTATTACATATGCTGCCCATCCAACAAGTCATAAATACAGTTGATGGAAAATTTACACCATTAAAAAACCTAACTAAAGATAAGAGAAAACTGTGGAGATCCAATGGCATTGGATCAGTGACATTGATTTAGTAAATGCTAACATACCCATGTGTAATTAATTAGTCAGCCAAAGAACATTAAGAGTTAAAATTATGAAGAGCACCATCTGTAACATGAGGTACTTTGTTGAAATGTTTTAAACGCATATTTTTTCCCCACTATATAATAAAATAAGTGATTTTGTGTCATAATTACTCAGACTTTGAGCTATATCTTTCCATCAGAAAAACACTTTTTTCACCTGGCATGTCAGAAATAACGAGGGAAAACATGCAGACTAACATAAAGGTCTGTAGCWGACTTTGAACTGGAGGCAGTGGTTTGCCACTGTGAATAGCCCATCAAGCTCTGCTACAGCTGAACTAGAGCAACTCCAGCCTTGTACTAGCAGAGCATCTGCAGAAAACACAGCTAAGTCAGCAGATGTACACACTCACTGGTTGTTGAACTTYGCCATCAGAAAATTAAAAATGAAGGGTACGAATCTATGTTACGAAAAGTGCTTTTCAAGTACGGATAGTATTGATAAAGTGACACTTTAGAGGATCATAGTAAGTTTTTGATGATGTGGTTTGTGAAAGCAGCAAAGGCAGCAAATGAGGCTTCCTTACACAATAAGTCCATTCTAATGGGTAAAAAGCATCTATTTTTTTCTGTGCAGATTATGAAACAGACTGGTTTTCTGAATTAGAAATGATCTTGTACATCTGAAAAGTCTGACTTCTTTCAACTTGTTTTTTCCATACCTTTACTGGCCAGAATGCCATAAGCTGATGAAATAATGCCATACTTTATTCTGTCCTCCTGCGTGTTTCAGTTAACACATTTTAAGACAAAGAAATATTAGTAAGCTTATAGGATGGTATGAAAAGCATTAACAAATGAACACTCGTGTATGAGTGCACCACATTTTCAGACTGACTTATTGCCACTGCAGGAGATTCGCTGGCCACATTAACACAGAGAACGCAAATGAYAAAAAGTATTTAGGGAATCCTTTCTCCTGTCATCAAAAAGCTTTGCATAAGTTGGGTTTTTTTTTTTTTTTTTTTTTTTTTTTCCTTTTAGTTCCTGAGCAGGACAAATTTAGAAAAATCTGTGATTTTAATTTTGGCAGAACTGAGGCTCTTTAGGAGTGACAGACCAAGCAGCAACCAATGTGGCTGCTCCTTTGCAGGCACCCAGGCTGGGAGAARCAGCTCTGCAGAGAGCCCTGTGGCTGTAGTGGGCAGTGTCCCGGTCCTGGTCAGCAGTGGCCCCGGCTGCAGCAAAGCCTCCCTGTGCCCGGGCTGTATAACAGGAGCGTGGCCAGCCGGCCAAGGAGGTGATAATCCCCCGCTGCTCAGCACTCACGGGACAGCAGCAATGCCGTCTGTCCGGTTTGGGCACCCCCAGGAGAGGAAACGCATCGATAAACTGGAGCAAGTGCTGGTGAGGGCACCGAGGTGTCCAGAGCTGTGGCACTGTCCTGCSCTGGGGAAAGCTTTTGTTCAAGGAACACCAAAGAGCAGCTCTCAATACCTACAGGAAAGCCATCCAAAAGGTGGAGTCAGACTCTTCAAAACAATGGCTGCTGGGAGGAGGAACAACAGGTAGGAGCTAARAGAGTACATTAGATTAGGTAAGGGGGAAAAAATCATCCTGATGGGAATGTTGCATTGGAGCATGTTTCTAAGAATGACTATGGGAAACACTGGGGATTTTCACATGTGTACAGAACAGCCTTCTCGGTCTCAKGGCTCACCCTGCTGTGATGAGACCAGAAACCTACTCAGGGTCCTTCCAGTTGGAAATATCTCTTCATACTATGATAATTTCTAAAGAATATCTGCAAAATCTCCCTACACAATAGGTTATTCTTAACACTGTGAAATTTGTCTACTGTCTCATATGAATCTCTTCTACAATGTAAGCCATTAAACTAATTTTTTTTCCACGACACTCTCCCTCTTTGCAGCAACTTTCTATATTTTGAAAACTGTTACTATGCTGTTTCAGGGTCCTTTGGAATTCTTCTGTATGCTTAATACTTCATACCGTTAAATGCCACATTTCAGTTTGTTCTGTCTTTTGGGTTACTATATACGTCAGTTTTCTTGAGATTTCTGAGTATGCTTAAAGTATGCAGYGTAATAGAGCAGGAATACACTCAGCTGGCTTTTGAAATTTTATTTCTCTACTTCATATTTTACTGATTTTTTTACTAAAGATTTTCATAGTGCTTTTTTTCGCCTCATCCTGTACTTTCTAGGCTACGYGCAATGTGATTGTGCAGTGCTTAAGCTGCTTCTGAGGTGGAATTCACAGATTTTTCTCTCTTGCCTTTTTGCTCACAAGAAATTTCTAAAYTATAATTCTTACGGTATCCTATTCTGTGCAGTCATCCACAACTGTAAGCTGTATGTTCTGAATTTGAGTGTCTGCAGCTCTTAGGTAAGGATTTATTCTCAGTGGAACAGCATTATGCTAGCTTCCTCTTCCTCCTCCCCCTTTTTTCCAGCTACTTTTTTCCTTTCTTTCTTAACATCATGAGCTGCTCACTCATTTTCTTTGTTCCTCAGAGGGTTTTTCTTCTTCTATAAACATATACATGAGCATTTTTTCTCAGGCTGCGTTTTCTTTCCATTCCTTGAATTCTGCTGTCAGAAAAACAACTTTGCTTCAGTGCCTCAGGATGAAGACTCTTATTTATCAATCTTTCCTATATTTAAACAGAGTGACAGTGAAAGTAGCACAGGAGWGATGGAAGGGGTGAAGCTGCCTTCTGCCTGGAGCCATGTTGAGTAGACAGAGCTGTGGCAGCTCTGCACTTTGCCTCAGGATCAGCATTCCCAGTTGCACTGGTTATTCTGCCTATGGTATGGCAGATGAGGAAGAACAACTTTCACCCAACGTATTATGTAAAGACAGATGTTTTCAGCTTGCTCAGATGTTAGAAGTAGGACACTATAGGATGCCCTGGACAAGAAAGATAGCAACATCAGGATATGYTTGAACAACAAATTGAAGGCATTAGTGCAGCATGGGTTGCCGTAGCTTAAGCCTAACTGGCACAAAGATCAACAGCATCAAAATGCAGAAACAKGAATTTTTGGCATGAGCTTGCAAATGGGTAAGGGCATGGGGGCTCCACTGACATCCATATCTCTATGGTATCGGTATTGTCCTGCTGCAAGACAGGTAAAAGCTTAAAATCACCCCCTGCAATGCAGTCACTCCTTCCACTGCATTGAAGAAATAGCTTCAAGGCTTTCTTTCAAAAGGAAATAAATTCTTTGCGTTGCTCTGGGTTCAGTGCTACCCAGGCAAAATTACAACAGGCGAATGTAATCACTTGATGCAATAAAGGCATTTGGACAAAATTCCGCATAAAACCTGCCCATTTTTTTCAGAACAAGTACAGATGCAGCAAATGTTGCAGTTTTTTCCACATGTACCCTTTACACATTTAGATTTGGCCTGAAAATTAGCAATATCCTATGATCTTTTAAGTTTTTGGGGTTTTTCAGATTTTACTTGCTTAAGTCTCACTAAATATAAAAAGACTTGCCTGTGGTGTATACCTGTTGAGCTGCTTTTGATGGGACAACCAATTCACCTTTACATTTATTTCAATGAATTCTAAACCAGCGACAGCTTGCAAATATGTGAAAACTTTACCTTTTCTGTTATTTAACAATTACATCAATATTTGTGGTCCTAATTTATACAAATGGGTTTTGTCAAGGGAAACTTCCTTCTGGAATCACGGTTTAGTGACCTTTGACATACACACTTGCCAACCTTGRAAATTCAAGCCACAAAAAATGTTATGAATATATCAGCAGAACCTCTCTGATAAGTGTAGCAAGTCTCATGTCAAATATCATCTGCTGCAAGATAAATATCGGAATGAAAAGGCAGACAGAATGTGAGCAATCTGAGTTTATCAAAATGGATTCTTTGACCTGAAATACCAGAGGCAAAACACAGTCCCATGGAGTAAGAAACAAAGCTCACTAAGTGCTGTTGCTGAATAATCTACAAATATATCCTAATTGTCACTCTGAACTGTAGTCCAGTAACAATGGAGATAAATTCCCTAACTGCTAAAAAACTGGCATGTTCAGAGTAATTGACTATCATACACCCATACAGTGATCTGTTCCAACTATTAATTTAGRCCTATTTTAGATAAAGAAGAATAATTCCATTTTTACAGTTTGTTCAGACCTTGGCCTTGTTGAAATTCCCAGATCCAATTTTTCAGTTTTGTGAATATTAGTCCAGTAGGAAGAATACTGAAACACACAATGTTAATTTAAAATCAACCATGAAATAAGGAATCAGTCCAAACTAGATTACAAACCCTAAATTCACTACTGAAATAAAGCATTCTGTAACACCCTGCAAGTCTTCCTAAATTACTACAACTAGTATGGCATCATTTACATTGGATTAATTTCTCCTAGAGGGAAAGATACCACAGCATGCCCCCTTCACATGTACCTGTACTAATATCTGTCTTCTTTTTTTTTGTTGTTTTCTCTCTTAGATTACCCCCCTAGCTGAGCAAGTGACACACGGAGAAACATGCCTGAGCAAAGCAATGATTACAGGGTGGTTGTGTTTGGAGCTGGAGGAGTGGGAAAAAGTTCTTTGGTCTTGAGATTTGTGAAGGGCACTTTCAGAGAGAGCTACATCCCTACCATTGAAGACACCTATCGGCAGGTGATCAGCTGTGATAAGAGCATATGCACCTTGCAGATAACTGACACTACAGGGAGCCATCAATTTCCAGCCATGCAACGTCTCTCTATTTCTAAAGGACATGCTTTTATTTTGGTTTACTCTATCACCAGCCGGCAGTCCTTGGAGGAACTGAAGCCAATCTACGAACAAATCTGTCAGATCAAAGGAGACATAGAAAGCATTCCGATAATGCTGGTGGGGAACAAAAATGATGAGAACCAAAATCGAGAGGTAGAAAGTAGTGAAGGAGAAGCCATGGCTAAGAAGTGGAAATGTGCCTTCATGGAGACTTCTGCCAAGACRAACCACAACGTGAAAGAGTTGTTCCAAGAATTGCTAAACCTAGAGAAACGCAGGACTGTGAGTTTGCAAATTGATGGCAAAAAAAGCAAGCAACAGAAAAGGAAGGAGAAGCTGAAAGGCAAATGTGTGGTGATGTGAAATTGCACTGTCAGAAATCAGCTTTGAAGTCTCATCTGACAATACGCATGTAAAACCCATAGACAGCAAACAACCATGCAAGATCMTATTTATTAGTATCTGTTTTAAAAGAAGTATTTGGAAATTGAAAACATGAAGTACTATGATTGCTATGATAAAATTTGAAAAGCAAAAAAGTGTGTACTCTTGCTATCAATTAAAATAAATCAGGAAAAGATGTCCCAGAATACCTTATTTTGTACTTCACAAGAAAGAAGAAATTTCATCATTCACATAATGTGAAAGATTTRGATAGCCAACTTAATATTATTTGCAGTGGCATATAATTGCAAGAAAAAGCAAAGAAAAACAAATGGTTGTGAAGAAACCTAGAACATACAAACACATGCTGGATGGCATTAATAATTTCTTTCAAGAATACTGTGGACAAACAATTCTGTGCCATTTTCATGACAGACTGGTAGGAGAATGTGCATAAGACAGTCTTGGATCTGCTAAATAAAGGAACTGTTGCACAGTAAAAGGAAGTGTGGGGATATCAGTCAAAAGGACAGATATTGTCTCTACCCTCCCAGCACGATATTTCTTTCTAGAGTGATGCAGTGTATTAACTGAAGGTTGTGGAAAAGCCAGTCCCTGTAAGAAATCATCTTCTCTGGACTCATTGCTTCAAGAACGACCTGAGTTTCTGGCCCAAATATATTTCAGAAAACAGGTGTTTGTGGAGAATGCCAGATAAAATGGTGTATATATAAAACCAGAATCCTTCCCCGAGGAGAACTGGATGGGGAATCTCCTATGAAATCCTCTGTGGGAAAGACTCAGTTCTAATGCTGCTGCTGCTGGTTAAATGAACACATGGTGTGGTTAGTGAATGGATGGAGTATCTTTTAAAGTGGTGTTACCCTTTGAGAGGGGTTGGAATACTATATGTTTTTATTCTAATTTCAGATTAGCTGAGTTATGCTTCTTTACATTACTGTATTCCAGTTAAAAGGGTTTATGTTCATGCACTACAAGAYCTATTGCCTTTATATTGTTTGAAGTATTTTATATTCACCATTTAAACCCATGATTTGARCTGCTGTGACTTCTTATAGAGCCAAATCCATATCTGAATATAGGGCCTACCACTGTCTCTATAAGAAGGTTTTCTGGGATAAGCATTATAGTATTTGGCATATTTAGAGTTACAGTCATACAGTATTATGYGTTATAATACAATACAAAGTTCAGAATAGAAAACATATTACTTAAAACATTCTGTCAGGGGAAACTGCTCTTCTCAAAACCTTGGAAGGGGGAAAAATGGTACAAAATGTGAGCTTTCCTGGATATCTCTCCAAAACTTCTTTAAAAACAAATATGAACAACTGAAGTATTTATCCTAATGATAAGAAAGTCCATCTAAGATAAAATAAGCACATACAATTTTTAAAGGACACATTAAAATTGCATAAGTCACAATTTGTACTTAGGAACTGCTTTGAACCAATAAAAAGAGCCTATCATATTTTTAACAAATGTTTATGTCAAGAAAATAGAAAATTAAGTCAAGTACTAATATTATTAGCCTGCATGTTATTGCAGCATAAATATCTTCCAGGGGATGCTCAGATGCAGTATTTGCATTAAAAATTGCTACCTTGTTCCTTTCAGAGTTACTGCTTGCCTAATTTCCACCTTTCTAACAAATGCACAGGCATTTCAGAGCTAGAGTAATAGTGTACACTAGAATTGCTACTAGCACTGTCTAGAAAGGAGCACAACTTCTGTCATTCATTCAGAAGAAATTCTGGCACCAGTAGAATTGAGCGTGAAACTCCTACTGATTTCAAAGCAACAATATTTCTTGTGTTGACTTCATTGCATTAGGAGAGAAAACTGAAAAGAGCATGCAAAAAGCTRATGCTCTTCATTAACAGTAAATTCCAGGCTCTTTCACAAGACTTTCTCCATAAATTTCAAATCACTTTGCAAAAATGAAAACATCATTATCTTAACTTCTCAGGTGGTGAAATTGAGGCATGAAGAGAGGAAACAACTGCACATAGGTTGTCCAGTGGGGAGAGTGGCAGACCAGGGACAAAAGCAGATCTCCTCTGTCACAGTCCAGTGCTCACTCTGTGTTTTTGTCAGACTGTCTCTTCTCATTCTTAAATAGTTCCTGAAACACATAAAGAAGCCTGGTTTAACTTACACAGCCAAGTGCATCTTTCTTGACAGTCTGTCAATAAATCAAATGTTATTTCCAGATCAGGGATGCAAAACACTTAAAAGCACTATATTTAGTAAGACTTTTATAAATGTTTATACATGACTCTGTTTGTAAAAAAAAAAGTGCTGGTGATATTCAATGTCACAGCACTGGATTTCATAGAAGAAGCTGGAAAATCAGAGGAATGAACAACCTTAAGGCATAATGGGTCACATTTGAGGTCGAGGTTGAAAGCAGAGAGGTTGCCCTCAGATGCTAACACACCAGTGCCAAAGGTCATCATGCATGGCACATGCCTTAGCAGCCAGCAAAGAATAATAACAGAATCTCAAAGAGAAAAAAAAAAAAAGCTATATATAGAACCTTTCAACATTATTGCTTTAACTTGAGGAATTATTTACATAGTTAAATATCTTGCAGAAGTACAGTACAGGGGATCTGAATTATATAAAATGTACTGACTGCAAAGWTATTACAGGCTGAAATTTAGCCCTGGACTTGTTTTTTTTGAATGTGCCTCATAGCAAAAATAAAATAATTGTATAGCAAAGATGGAAATAAAATAAGTAGCTGTCAATGTTAGGCTTGAGGACCATTTCCTTTAGTTCCCAGTTGACTCCTCACCTGCTACATAATAAGCCATGAAGTATTTCATGGACTTGCATGTATCAAAGCAAGGCCAGAACAGAAGCAATATTACTCAAGGACCACAGACTCAAAAGAAAGCATATTTTATACCCTTGCATTGCCATCCTAGTTTATACTATTAGATTTTACGTATATTGCATACTTGTGAGCTGGTTTAAAATGTTTGTTTTGCTATTACATATAGAATTATTTTTTTTAATATGAAAAAAATAAGGTAGATGAAGAAATTATAAGGTTTTATTACATTTTGTGTTTAATTTGGGAATGTGGTATAATAAACAGTTTAAAATGTATATAAAAAATATTTAAAACATGTAAGGTCTACAGTGAATTTTAGCACCCAGAAAACACAATCTAGCCAAAATGAATCCTTAAAATGCATGACTTTTATATGTAGATATGTAATATTAAGGTATATTGTTGTCATGAAAATATGTTGTTGCAATTTCWTTAGCAAATATTTTATTTTAAAACTGGATATGAAGTCATTTGTGTCTACTAGTTTCCATGTTTGTGGTGATGTTCTGAATATTCAAAATAAAGTTTTAAATCCTAACACAAGTTTGGAAGAAATCTTGTTGGTGCCTGTATTTTGTGTGTTTCATACTATATATATTTTTTAAATTGCAAAGTCAGTTCTCTAAATCTTACATTACTTTGTCCCTAAACCTTCAGCTATACAAATCAGTTCTGAGAAATTTGGAGAAGTATGATCTTATCTAATAYTTACCCTTCTGCTAGTATACTGTGGCAAACACACACCTTTCAAAGAAGTACATCTTCATTAAAAAAACTCCAAAACTAAACCAAAACAGTTTGTCAGCAGGGGCTCCTTTTGGCCAGCAAAAAGCAAAATAATTCTGTAAGCTAGTCTATATTTAATTATTTGCTTAACAATAATGGCACAGATAGAACTCTGTGCTCATGAAAATTTGATAATTACTTCATGGATGCTCCTACACCTGTTCATTTCTAGGAAATTCCTGATGTTATTGCAAAATGGCCTACTATTGCATTTTATATTACCACCTGTTGCAAAAAATATCAAATATAATATTTAATGCTTCTTGAAATTCAGAGGATGCAATAACAGTTTTTCAGTTAAATAAATATTTCCATATGTAAGCAATAATTCCTATTCAACAGAGGAAGGGATCAACAAACAATCTTGAGTAYGGAGGCACATTGATAGGCACTGGAACCCGTGATGAAATACTGAGCATTGGATGTAAATTTCATGTCACTGTGAAGTAATTGCATGTTTCAGCCCACAAACCTCTTTATTTTTAGTAAAAGACACCCCAAACTCTTATTACTTTTTTTTTCCTTCCAATATGCTATCATTTACTGTTCTTGTAACAGCAAGGTTTCTGWCATAGTCTGTGTTAAAGCAGTAAATGTGCCAGTAAAGTCCTGGGTTTTACACAATACAATAATTACTTTATAGATGTTTACTATATCATACTCCACAGAAACACTGGAAACATTGCAAAAAATAGCTTTTGTTTTTTTGCTTCTTTTTTTTTTTTTTTTTTTTTTTTTTTTTTTTTTATGGAAAATATTTGATTTTTAAATCATAGCCTCATTCAAATTTGTGAATACTTATCACACTTATTTCACTGCCATTTTAACTGACATGTCTCATCCACCTTCAAATAACATTTTCTAATAAATCCWTAATTTTATTTCATGTTTTCAAGTGTGTCTATAGTTTAATTACACTTAAACTGCAAAGAGAAGGAGAGGGAGAGAAGAGCTTTGAAAATACAAAYGTGGATGCTCCTTGTGAAGGACACAGACTCTTTTATAAACTAACCAGAGAAATATGCAATTTAAAGAATGCATTGAACCTCTTTTGTTTCATATAGTTTATCTTCGTAGAATATTCTATTTTATAATGAGTCATGGGGGGTCCTACTGAAATCATAATGAAACTGAAGTGCAAAGGAGGAGTTTCAGTCTGACATATTTATTTCATTCTCAGATTCCAATAAGTGGACCACTGTGGATCTTACAAGACCATCTCTATTCTCATCCTCTCACATCATAGTGCAGCTKTAAAGGGGAGGGGGAGGGGCAGCAGGCCCCACAACAATCTATCCCAAAACTAAACTCAGCCTCTATACCTGACACTCTGAAAGCTATGGATGACAGTGTCTGTCATATGGAAATAACCATTGTATTGGAATTCATTTGAGTAGAGAAAGCAACAAATAAAGAAGCAGGAATGGTGTTCTTCCATAAGACATGTATGGCAATTTTTTTAAACAGAAATAGGAGAAAGATCATTCTACGTTATCTTTTAAAGTGACATGGGAAGATCATTGGAGGAGCCATTCATCCTAATGTATATCTGCTTTGCTGCAGCTTTTGTTTAGTGTTGTCATAAAGACACTTTGTCTTTGGAATCTCCCTTCCTAATTTAGGGGTTCAGTTCCTGCTGTTGGTCAGGCTGGTCTTAAAAAAATATTATTGGTCTATTTATTAATTTATAATCACAGTACAATGATGCTGTATGATTAGGCATATTAATTTAATTCCAGATTTTTCCTGTAGACCAATTGTCCCTTATGCAATGGGGTTATTGTAACAAAAAGTAGGAGAATTATWATTTGGGAGGGGAAGTAGACTCACAGATAATGGGAATATCAGAAAATTTTATTTTTTACAGAACTCACTATATCTCAGAAAATTCTGAGATCAGTAAGGACCCATAAAAGCATTTTCAAAAGAAAAAGCAATAGTGGGTGGTCATGCTGAGCTGCACTAATGAACATGACTCTTATGAACATCACAATAGTAAGTTACACAAGGAGGGCAATTTCTGCTCCCTCAGTGATCTAATCAAATCTGTAACTCCTTGTCTCAGTTTAGAGATAATTTTAGGAGAAATCATTCTGGAATGAATGTTTCCTCTAAAGAAAATGGTGTTAGCAATCCCTTCCTGCAGATACAAAATGGATTTTTCTGGATGAAAATGAAAAAAACCCTGTTTATTTGACAATCAAGGTGCCTGTAGGGCACAGGAAAAAAAAAATAACTGTTAGATATTGAACCTTCAGAACTTTATCCCCCCACCCCCACCCCACACACGCACCCACAGCAGAACTATTGAATCCAAAATGYCCTGGAAGGGGAAAACAATGCTGGCCACGTACTAGGGAACAACAAAATGGCAGGTAGGGGTAGGAAGAAAAAGTCCATATGGCAGCTCAGGGGAGAAAAAAATCCAGAAGAGAACCTGGTGAGCCTCCAATGCCGGTCTCCTGCTCGCAGCAGATGAAGCTGGTGGATTTRGAGTATTTTCTTTCTTTGGTTCTGCTTTTTCCTCAAGGTCTGGGCTAAGATGGGATGTTCCCACAGCTTCCCCACCAAGCAGCTCCCGTCAATGGTCTGATTTGGACAAAAGGCCAGCCAAACAGTCCAATAAAAAAGAACACAAGCTGCCAAAGAATTGCCAACACAGTCCAGGGAAAATCTTTCCAGCTAACAAAAACCAAGCTAGCTAAAAGTAATAATGCAGCCTCCAATTAGCCYGGCAAGCCAAGTACATGGAGAGTGAGAGCTTAAACAAATCCTGCGCCAGAGTTCCCTCAGCTCCTGCCCACTCTCCAGATAAGTGTTAAAGTTACAGGATCCATTTCTGGGCATAAGCAGAYGATCAGGATTAAAGTATCGTCATAAAATCACCCCAAGTCACTCCTTAAAAACGCAGCTTTGCCCTGAATGGTTGACTTACATGCCTATGTGGGAGAGCACACTCTATAGTCACACRGTTTTAGGTCTCTCTTTCTTCTTGCTAGTTTGGCTGGGGTAGAGTTAATTTTCTACACAGTAGTGGCTCTGGGTCTGTGTTTTGGATTTGTGCTGAACACAATAATACCGAAATGTTTTTGTTATTGTGGAGCAGGGCTTGCACAGAGCCAAGGCCTTTCCTGCTTCTTGTACTGCATGCTGGTGAGGAGGGTAGGGGTGAACGCAAAGCTGGGAGTAGACTGGGACAGTTGATCCCACCCAGCTCTACCAGACCATATGGCATCATGCTCAATATTTAAAACAGGGTGATAAAGGAAAAAGAGAGGGGACGTTTGAGGTGATGACATTTTTSTTCCCACTTCACTCTTACCTGTGATGGGGCACTGCTCTCCTGGAGATGGCTGAAACCTGCTTTCTCATGTAAAGCAGTGAATTAATTCGTTGTGTGGTTTTGTTTGCATGCACAGCTTTTGTTTTACCTGGTGACCAATTAATGTCTACCACATCCCATGATATTTTTCATTTGTACTTTTGCAATTCTCTGCCTGATCCYACTGGTGGGGGAATGAGAAAGCAGCTGCTATGGTGCTTAGTTGCCTGCTGGGGTCCAGCCATAATAAGTATTTAGCCCAGGCAGTCCTTTTCCCACTACATGACGAGAGACAGATGTTCTCCTCAGTGAGAGGAGATGAACTCTACAGCCATGAACACCAGGTCCTTTTCTTCTACAAACCTCACACTAAATCAAGGCTTGCCTTATAAATGTAATGAAAGCCCAACTGGTACAACAAAGTCTAATACAACAGCAAGAGAAAGCAAGACAGGTTTATAGAAATATGTCTGTAAGCGTCCAAATAAAAATATCTTTATATGTAGCTCTAGGAAGTGTACGTTCATGTACCAACAAATGCTAAAAGACTGTTAGAAGAAAGAGGCAGAATTATAGACAATGGCTTTTCTGGGGATGCTGAATGCAGAGAGAAGATTAATCTGTTTCATTTTAGTGGTAATATTTCAGAAGGATGAAATAAAGGAGAAAAAAACCCCCTGCATATTCTTGGAATTACCCTAATAATAAAATCCATTAGGTCACAGATGAATCACTCAGAGCAAGTCATTATAAACTTCAAAAAAAAAGGCTGGAGCAAAAGAAACAACCTTAAATTCTGTTGTTCRCTTCTGCTGCCATAACTGTGTTTGTCCATTGTTGTTCTCCTTTTCAAATTCAAATCTGAATCTGAGACTGGCTTAATTCTGAAAGTTTGAGCTACATCCATTTGTTTCAYCATCCCTTGTTTGCCTAATGAAAAAATCTGAATATCATTTTGCAAAAACCCCACTGAAATAGAGAACAATTAAAATTWATTTATTACTTACTAGAAAGGAAATCAAAATAATGTAGTGATAGAGTAATCAGAGTGGTCAGTAGGCAGCCACACTCTTAAATCCTTCCCACGGGGAAAAAAAAAAATCCTGTCAATTATGTAACAGCACATAAAGTGTGCCCAGATTGTARAACTGGAAAATACCACGCAAGCCAGATGGATGCAAATTCAGAATTTTATTGTGGTGGAATGGGGGTGGGGAGGGTGGGTTGAGCAGCTGGAGGTAGGGTGGGGCTTGGAGAGAGGAAGTGCATCTATCCATTTTCCCTGCTTCTCCACGCTCTGGGAGGAGCAGTCACTCAGACTGCCTTTGCCACAGCTTAAGCACCCACTTTTCTGCTGGGGAGATTTACAGAGCAGAAAGACAAATCAARAGAGCACCACTTGGAGCACAAATAGCTGATGCTTGTATAATGTTGGCAA